TCACCAAAAGGACAGTCCTTATTGGGTCAGCATTTAAGATCTACTCTTTGGATGAAAAATTCCAAGCAGTCTATGGGGTTTTGATCCAAAATGAGTAAGATAGGGTTTCTTTAGGTGTAAGGTGTGGTACCCATTTGGGTAAAGAATGAAAAAGTTTGTTACAGGGTTCCTGGGCCTCCTCCTCTCACTTTCTCGTGTCTTTGCCTCTCTCTGCTTCTGGTTTTGGTATCGACTAACTTCTCTCCTAACCAGCTTTCCTTTCTGACTCACTGTTTGTCCCTTCTCATTCCTGCAAGCTGCAGGTACTCTTCCAACTTCCACTTCTGGCTCAAAATAGCAAATTTTTTCTGTGTTTCTTAGTTTACAACCCTGAGGAGGACTGTGGTCAGTTCAGTTTGTAGATCTGAGTCAGTCTTCCCAGAGCCACTAGCCAATTGATGGCGTAGCTTGTAGTGATCAGGATGGGACAATGTCAAGTGAGAGCAAACGAAAAACTAGAGAAGCAGGGAACCTCAGTGGTCTGTATGAGAGTGGAGTGTCAGGTGCCACGGCCACCTGTCCACCAGTCCTGGCTCATGTACCTGTGTCTCCAGGTCCTAGAGAAAGCAGGTTCTGTGGAGAGGCTTCATGGCTGCCATCCTACGTCACCCAAACATTCCTGTTTCCAGTGGTCACAATTCATAGAAGTTTTCACACGGTGTATAGGAAAGGCAGAAAAAGCCAATTCATTTCTAATAAGTTCATAGAAGAACCATGACCAGAAGAAACAATGGTGACAGGGTTAAATGTCTTGGGAAAGAGTGAGTGGGGCACTGACAAGCTAATCTACGGAGGACAAAAAGAAACTAAAAGGCAGTTGGAAAAACTAACCTAGAGTCGAGAAATGCACCCCAGAGAATTGTATTGTTTATGCTACTCTAGACCAACAGCTACTCCTCAATCTACTTTTCCCACTCCATGCATAACCTAGAGCCATGTGAGTTCCCACAGATCAACATTTTAGGTATCCTGTGGCTTTATATAGTCTGGTCTGGGAAACTTATCACCACTTATGATCTTAATCCTTATAGATAAATGCACCCTCAGTGTTGAATTCACTGATTTATGTAAGGATTTACAAATCATTAGAAAATCAACAGATCACAGAAAGAGGGTTTGGCTTGCTTTCCCACCTACTTTGCTGCCAGAGGAAAATGTTACTCAGGTTGAGATTGATTTAAAGTAGTGACTTTAACCGTGAGCTAGTAGACATAATCATGTTTTCTAGGAGAGCAGTTAAAGTAATACTGAATGTTGGAGCCAAGGTGATCCAAGACTGGAAGCAATCATGGGAGAGAAGGGGCAGCCATAACCCTGTGTCCCTCCTGCTTCTCCCCAGCCTCCAGGAGGGTTAGTCCTTTGTGCGTCATCTCCCTGAGGCCAGCGTTGTGCCGTCCAGTAAAGGATGCATTAGCTGAATTTAGGTCGGCTCTCAAATTGATATGTGATCAGAAACATGTGGGGAAGGGGTATATAGTCTAGACCCCTTGGCAGAATTTGCTTAGTAAGACTGGGATACAGTCCAGTTTTAAAAACAAGGACCCCAGATGACTTTGGTGCAGATGTTTCACTGTTTCATGTATTGTACTAGAGAAATGGGGCCTCAAATCTGGATCAGAATCTGGCTTTCTGGCTCAGATGGTGTGTGTGTGTGTGTGTGTGTGTGTGTGTGCATATATTTGAGTTCCGAGTTTTAGGTGAGACATCCAGTTCAAACTCAGAGCTTCACATTTGAGTTTGGGGCCAAGGTAAAGTGGAATAGCAGTTCCACTGGTTAGGCCTTTGACGCTGGGCCAGCACTTCCGGTGTAGAGCAGTGTTTTCAATCTTTAGAGCTACCTAGAAAGCTTTTAAAAATATTGATGCCTAGACCACACTTCCAATAAATCTGATTTCCTTGGTGTAGGTGCTGTTTTAGGATTTTTAGAAGTTCCTTGGGTATAGCCAAAATTAAGAACCATATGGTAGGAAAAGGGGTTTTGTTTTTCTGAAGCTCTTTCTAAAAGTCATCTAAATTCTAGCTTAGGAAGTTCACTGTAAGTTTCATAATAGAAGAAATATTAAATTTGTATTTGTACATAGCAAAACAAAAACATCAGGACAGAGTATCCTGAGTAGTGTTAGCTTGTGAACACAGTCAAGGATAATGATGGCATTGTTAATCGGGGCTCTTTTGTCCCTTCACTAGAAAGAAAAGCATGGCAGAGTAAAACTTAGAATTCACAGCATCTCAACTATATGTAAGTAAACAACGCTTCTGGCTACAAATACTTTCCCACAAGAACAAGAAAGGTTTCGACCTTTATTTTTTTTTTCTTTGTATTTGTCAAGACACCTAAGTGATTAGATTCATATCAAGAATAGGTACAACATTTTCAGGAATGTCTAAGGGTTTGATTCTTACCCATTGCTAAAAATAGGTGAATGACTTTATCAGTAACAATCCAAATGAGCTACAACTTTTCAACAAATGGACATTGGAATGCTGAACTTAGAGGACAATGATTTTATTAAATCTGTAATATTCTGATATATTCACCCAAATAGAGTTGTGAGTTTGTCTAAAATGCTTTTTCATAACAATATGGTATGTTTGGTTTTACAAAAATTAAACTAGCTTTTGTCAAATACAGTGTCATTTTATATATCCAGATGATATTTGTCATAGGGCTTATTGGCTATAGCTGAGCAATGCTGGATCTTTGATGTGAAATTTACAAGACTGTACGATATGTTCAAAATTATGAGTTCTAAAGTGCAGACCAAGGGCTCTAGGACAATCTGTGGACTTTGATTGTTCATCTATCCTCTGAATGTGTTCAATTTGAATGTATATATTTTACTCTATTTTTGTAGGAGATGGGCCATAGCTTTTGTCAGATTCACTGAGTTTACAACTAAAATTAGGTTCAGACCTCTGCATATTTAGAGAATCCTTCATTCTAAGCCCTTTTATCACCATTTGCTATTAAGAAAGAGATATAGAAAAAGGAAGAAATATTAGTACTGTACTCCTCAGCACTGCTTTTATCTGCATTAGCATCACAGATGTTTATGTGGTTCACCGATAGACATTACGCATTGCCTGGAGTTGATTTGCTTTTTTTTTTTCAGATGGTTTCACTATGTAGTTCAGGCTGGCCTTGAACTCACTTTGTAGCCCAGGCTGGTCTTGAACCACAGTGATCCTCCTGTCTCAGTCTCCCAAGTGCTGGAATTACAGGTGTCCACCACCATACCTGGCCTTTGATTTTCTAAGTGAATGTTAAGGGGACCGGATATGGTTCTGATTTTTGTTTCTTTTACTGGAGCTTCCATACCACTCCAGGAACAGTAGGCAGTTTTGATTACCTGGGAAGAACCGAGAGTGGCCAAGGTTACAGAACGGAGATAGTTTTTAACTATAAGGAGGAAGGTAAATTTGATATTGTTCCTTCTGACCTCTGGCCCTGCACCTAATTAGAGGGTGTCCATTTGATGTGGTCATTGCCAAAGGCTACAAGTGCAATGAAAGGGTACTCAAACTTAAGCACATTCAACAAAGGAGAGTATGACTTTTGTGAAATGATAATGTAAAGAATAATGATTTTATAAAAAATTATTTTAATAGAAAATTTCCTTTAGAGTTTATTTATCAAATTTAATTCTAAATCCTTTTCATGAATGTAAAAGATTCAAGTTCTCTTCTTGATGGTATTTAGCCTCATTATGGGGGCAAATGTGACTTTTGTTAAAATTTTAGAATAAAGTTTATCTAATATTACACACTACTACTTTTTCAAGATATTAGTGTAGATTCATTATAGAGTTCAATTTTCTCCTGGTCTGAGACATGTTATGCTGGATGATTTTGCATTGTCAAGGCTAATTCTAAAATATATGATCAGCGTATAAGAGTTTCCATAAAGATTTAAGGAGTGGCAATAATCTTTGTTTATATTTAGACATGAAGTTAAAATTTTGTAGGCTATGATTTAATTAAAATTTAGCTTTTAGGAAAGTTAATTTGTATTTGCATAAACAAAAAGAAAAAGAAACTTTTTTTATTACTGTGGACTTAAACCAAGACCTTCACATATAGATCTACATACCCATCCCTTTTCACTTATTTTTTTCTCCTGAGACAGGGTCTCATTAAATCACTAAATTGATCAGAATGGGTTTGGACTTGTGATCCTCCTGCCTCAGCCCTCCCAGAGAATTGAGATTACAGGTACACGCCACCACACTCAGCTGAAATATTTTAAAATTGAGAAAACTGTTTTGTTTAATTTAAATTATTGGACTAAACTCAGAGTAATCTTTTTCATGTTATAGATATGGAAACATCTATGAGCACTGAAAATTGACATTAATGTTATTCTTAAATTTGATTGTGATTTTCTAATCGGTTGATTGACACTCACTGATGTATCACACAGCCATGGCAATGTCCTATCCCTTCTTTAAAGAAGATTCCAAAGATTTAATAATGATATTCAGTTGATTTCTTATAATTTTGAACAACAGTTACAGATTTTTTCTCTAATCTCTGTGGAATCAATCAAAAGCAAGAGCTTTGTTATATGCCAATGCTTTTTCAAAATGTTTTAATCTCTAAAATGTGATTGATTTTCTCCATTCTAGATGTATGTCTTCAATGGCAAAAATAAAGGCAAATTAATTCAAGTTGTCTATTTGCAAATTAAAAATGAACATGATGAACTGCAAGACTCACAGAAATTGGACATTAATTCTTCTTGAGGAGTAAGAGTGAGATTAATATTCTAAGTAATATTTATCCTCTTTTATGGAAGAATGTGTTTTTAAAACATTATGGCAATAGAATTTTAACCCAAATTTAATTTATCTAAGACATAATATGGCCACTTGAGATCTTTGCTAGTGAATTGCCTTAGATTATACCTGAGTATAAACTATCACTTAGCTTTCACAAATTAGAACAAGACTCTGACTCTTGTATATATTTTAAAACATTCATATTGTTTATTTAATACCATGTACTTCAAAATTGTTATCATGTTACTCCTAGTCTTGGAGGATGGGCTCTTTTTTTGGAGGGTGCGATCATGGCCCATCCTTGGAAACAACATTTAGAATCTAGCAAGGTACATGCCAGCTAGGCTTTAAAGTGGAGCCAGCCCTGGAAACTATTTTCAAACAATCTTGTTTTCATCCTGAGATGGTTCTGCCGAGTGTGTGATGGGAAAATGGGTAGAGTGGGATGCAAGGTTTGGTAAGAGTTCTGCAACTCACATTCTGAGATGGATGCATGCCTGGGGGGTTGTACAGCGTCAGGTCGCCTCTGAGGACCTCCTGCAAAGAGCTTCCTAAGGTTAGAGTCCCAGGGCACCTGGGACTTGGCCTTGTTAGTGATAGCCACACAGGGCCGTGAGGCTCAGCTGGTCATCACTGGGCGAGGAAGGGTCGGGGTCACTGTAGATCTGAGTAAGGGCCAAGCTCAGAATTTCTTTCTTTTCTTTGTAAAATCGCAGTTCCTGGCCTGCTTTCCTGGCTTCCTCCAGTTGCCTCAGGGCCATTCGTAGCTCTTGGGAGAGAATTCCTGGTGATTCCCGCTCCTTCATGATCCAGTCTAGGGCCATGTGGCTGCGCATCTTTTCATCGAGGGAATATTGGGAATAGTAGGAGATGACTTCCTGGGAGCCAACGAACAAGAGTTCAGAGTCAGGAAAGGGCAGCATAGGCAGCGGTGCACTTGGCCTTCCATGACTCCTCCCACGGCCCCACAAATAAACCTAGGACCAAATCCCACTGACCCACTGTTTTAATGGAAAGGATGGGTAAAGCAAGTCACCCCAGGTTGGGTCAAAACATAGCACTAGTAATGAGAATAATGTAAACAAAGGCACAGCCAAGATGCCTCCAGAAAATGCATGCTTTTTTAAAAAAAATACATATTCTTAAAATAATTGCTGTGAATATTATCTTGTTTATTCATGCGACTCTTCCACCCTGCATTATTTCTTTTGACAGGATAGAAAAAGGGAAATAGCTAGCAGAGCAATTTGGGCAAAATGCATTTGGTCACACCTATTGTAGAAAGCAGGAAGTCTGTAGTCAAGGGGGCTTCAGAACAAGACTTAGAAACCAGGAGTGTCAACTTCCTAGCTGCTGTGCTGTTAGATCAGGAGGATAACAGCGCAAATGCCTTACCAAAACTGGAGGAATAACTTTAAAATGTATTGTGGAGTGTAGACATTATCATTATTGGTATCACAATGACACCTTCATAATACATTGTCTCTTACTTTTGCCAAAAATTAAGAATTAACCACAACTTTTATTTTTTCTATGAAAAAATTATCAATAAAGCATACTGTCATATATGTTTGATTATGTGGAGTGGATGTATTGCTTATTTTTACTTCTAAGAACATATGGTATTTATTTATGACCTTAACAAATTAAAACCAATCATGGAAAAGTGTTTATAACCAACTCGGCATATTTCAAAGGCTTTTATAAAATCAAAGAAAAGGAAAAAAAAATAGCCAAAGCCATTGTCAGCTACTCATTTCTTTTCCATCTTTGACATTTTGGAAGCCAGACTTTCTAAGCAAAGAATAGCTTCAAACTCCTAGGGCTGCGGTGCATGGAAAACTCTTACATCTACCTTCATCTTGCTAATAGAGGCTTTGTTCTTCTTACAAATTCCCATTAGGAAATTCTCAAAAGTAAACTACCATCTTTCAAATTGGTGGGTATAGAAAAGACAAATCTGGGAAGACAGCAGGTGAAACCAGTAAATATACAGGAAGGATTTTACAATGGTTATTAAACAGTAGGGAAGTGTGCCCCCCCCCATAAGTAATGTAGAAATAGTGAGACCTTGTCTCTGAAAAATAAAACCTTCTAAATCAAAAAATTGAGGTGATCGAAGGCCACCTTGTCCAACTTCACATCATTTCTGTTGCCCACTAAGGACTTCTGATTCAGTGGGAAATATTTTTCTGCCATAACTAACATTGCTCATGTCAGGGAGCAGGTTTTTCCAACAGTGCTTTCTCCACTTCCCTCCTGCTCTTCCTTAATGACGGCTCTATTCTGCATTCGGTGCAAGTGTCTAAATGAGTCCTATGCCAACATTCCCAGTGTGTATTCTTGGTCAGTCCCTGGCCCAGGTCTGTTACATATAGGTCTTCATTTGCCCTCTGCTCTTAAGAGGGCAAGAGCAATGTCCCAATAAAGGAAATCTCTTAGGAAAATGGTGAGTTGTCTGCTTAGTTCCTGCAACACAAACCTGGTCCTGACTGGAAAAACCTCACCTGTCGAGAACACTTTGTTTCACGAAGAGCCTTGAGACTTCCATTCCAGTGCAGTAGTTGGAAAATGGTCATCAGCTCCTGTGAAACCGAAATATCTGTCATTCGTTTTGAAGCACAAATGTTTATGTCAGTTAGAGTTTCAGCAGGGCATAACTCTGATCCCCAAATACATAGGGCAAACATAAAAGTATAATATCAGAACTGTTTGGGATGCTTTTCAAAGTCTCCCAGAGAATGTATCTTCCACTTCCTTGCCATACCTGTACTTGCATAATGAAATAACTAAATAATTGACAAGTTATTTTACAATATTAAAAATGCATACTCTAGTAATTATACACCCAATGGGGATTATCTAAATATACTGGCACATCTGAGAATAATGTACAAGGGTATATACACTGTATCATTTTTTGAAACTGCCAGAAATTGGAATGGTTTAAATTTTCATTTTTGGAGAAATGGTAAAAGAAAGCATGATACATCCACAGTACTAAATACTGTGTATACACAAATGCTGAAAACACTCTTTAGGTTCTAATATAAAGAATTCTACCATATTGAAACACAAACAAAGTACATAATAGTGCATAATTTGTGCTACTATTTAATTTAAAAAGTATAGAAGGCCCTTATATGCATATTTGCTTGTAAGTGTCTAGGAGAGTTCTGTAACAGAGGCCAGGGCTGTAGCTGAGGTGCGCTCATGAGATCTTAAGTTAAATCCAATCCCCAGCACCAAAACCAAACCAAAATATATAATCAAAACAACAACAACAGAACAAAAAACAAGTAAAAAATATGCTGACATTTATTCCTTCTGGGAATAAAAAATATATGTGGGGAGGACAGAAGTGGGAGGAATTCCTTCTGCTGTTTTAGCTTTGTTTTGTTTTTGCAGTGCTGGGGATCAAACCCAGGTTCTCATACATGCCCAAGAAGAACAAGCACTCTACAACTGGGCTACACCTCCTGCCCCCTCTGATGATCATTTAGATAACTTTTTCAGCTTTCAACCCTGTAAGTACATTGTACATTAAAGAAAAAAAATTAAGCTTTAAAAATTTAAGCCCAAAACAACATATGTAAATATTTTAAAATAAAATTTACAGGAAGTCCTTCGTTTGCATGCAGTTCCTGCATAGACCAAACGAAAACAGAGACACTCATGTTAGTGTTCCATCTCAGGAAGGTGAAACTATGTTGCTGATCTGACCTTCTCAGAAGTGAGGAGAATGACAGAAAAAAACCAGCCAAAAACAGTGTTAGCCATTATGCTATGGAAATCCCCTTCACTTTAACCTTAACAAGGAAAGTAATTTTTTATTATATTTCTGCTTTCTTCGTCCCTATTCTGCCTATCGATCTAACCCCCTTTGCTCAACTCACCGGAACCCTCATTCTATTGTATGGAATCAAGTCGTCCTTGATTCTACAATCACAAATAAAAGCCAACTCAGTCTCTAAATTTATTATAATTTCATCTTTAACAATAAAGAACATATAACAGACAAACTACAGAAACCATAAATTTATAAATTCAGTCAAGGAGAATGCCTTAACACACGGAGAATAAGGTTATATTGACATTAAAAAATATTGCTGCTTTCCACATCTAATGGCATTGAGCGTAGCTGAGCATAGCAGCAATCCTATGGGCTCAATTTTTCCTTTTCCTGCCCAAGAGCAAGGGTGAGCCAAGGTGTAGCAACTTGGCAGAGATTTTTATTTTCCTAATGTGGTTAGCACTAGCAATGTTCCGCTGAATTTACCTGAGTTTCACATACAGAGGGACTGTCTTTAACTTTTAAAACTTTTTTACTTTAATTAGTACGTGTTTTCAGTACATAATGATTGCATTCATCATGGAGAGCTGGTACGTGTACGTAACACAACTTAATTTATTTTACATCCCCTCCATTTCCCCTCCATTCCCTCTCCCCCCATTTCTTGGTCTCCTTCCCATTTGCAAAGGATCTATCTCCCTGTTTCCTATTTTTTGTCTTCATTTTTGTCAGAAAATATCTATTAAGGATTAACAGCATCAACCACAGCCACGTAATTACTGGAAAATAACTCACTATAACTACGGAGCTTCTTGTTCATGAAAACAGTTATGAAAATTTAACATTTAGATAGTATCTTACTGTCTACCCAAAAGCTGACTTTTATTAACTATCTTTATCTCTGCTTATCCAGGAAAAATTTTCATTAGGGAAATCAAGAGCTACAAAGTCTTAGTTTAAAGGCATCTTGAAATTATCTGGTCAAGTGAGAAGGTATAAGATCATCATAGGAGCAAGGGGCATTGTCCTCATGTCTGAAATTGCCATACAATCAGGTGATTTTCTTCTCCCTCTGAAATCAAGTTTAGCATTGTGTCTGTGTTCCACCGCACAGAAAGCACCCCGGGAACCCAAAGAGCTCTCAGTAGAAGTAAAATCATGTGTTTCCGTTAATTAAAATACAACATGACTTTCAGCTGGATTTCTCCTTCCATGCCCCAAACAGATACCCCACTGTCTGCCCAGGGCCCTGGGTCTGATGACCAGGGAAGCTGCCTTCTCACGGTCCCTCTTCTCCTTGACCCTGGCCAGGTTTTCACATCATCATGAATGATACTAATGTGGAAAGGTGGGAAAGCTTCGTTCCTGAAACTGCACCTTGCCTGACTGAACTCTTACCACTGTGCCTTGCACTCATTCCATCGAAGTAGCCCAGTGGCTCAGGAGGGTGAAATCCCCACTCCACCCCCCAAACCTACTCAGTGAACAAAATTCTGTAGCCAGAACAAGACCTAGGAAGTAATAGGAAAGCCAATATCTGCAAATAGGAAATTCCTTTGGGTTTCATGTTTTGTAAGAATGCTATGCCTATTTTGTATGGTCCATTTTTTAAAAAAAGAAGATACATACCCCATTCCCCCCAAAACCTTCATAAAAGTTTGTTTGCATGCATGTTTTGTGGTTCTGGAGATTGATCCCAGAGCCTCATGCATGCTGGGCAAACCCTCTACTATGAAGCAGCTCCTCCAGTCCCTATGCGAAGTTGACAACTGCATTTAGAATGTGGCTACCGTAGCCATCCTGGCTTTGTCCAAGCATCTTTGTGGCCCAGTTGAGAGAAACCCCACTGTTAACAGAGCTCTGAATTCCATCCTTTGGCAGTTGTTGCCTTAAAAACGTGCCCTTGCTTCCTTGAGATCTTCTGGGCTTATTCTTTTTCTGCTCCCTACATCTGGTACTGCGGATTGAACCCAGCTAGGGCCTCTGCACTGAGCTACATTCCTAGGCTTATTTATTTATTTATTTGGACACAGGGTTGCCCAGGTTGGGCTTGAACTTGCAAGTCTCTTTCAGTCTCCTGTCTCAGCCTTCCACAGTGCCCGAGTGCAGGTGGCCTGTGTCTCCTGATACCCCACCAGCTGCCCCCTGCAGGTGAACTGCTGCCATTTCCCCCCGCATGTCCACGATGACTTTAGAATCCATAGTTATGCTGGGAATGGAAGCAGGACCTTTCTCGTGCCCTTTACAACCTTCATCTCTCACAGAATTCCCCAAAGGGACTTGCACTGTTGCTGCCTGCAGGACAAGGGCCATCACCTCCCCACCTCCGACTGTCTAAATCCCTGTCCCACCATGAAGCAGCTTTTCCTCTGCAGCCACACAACTGCCACCCCCTCAGAGTGGCTCTGGTTCCTAAAATTCTCTGGGGAAGACAACCTCCTTCCCACCCTCTTACGCTGTATTCTGATCTGACTGCTGTCCCACTCGGAGAGATATCAGAGCATATTACCCTGAAGCAGAAATCCTGACCTAACTGCAGCCATTTTGTTCAATAAGGCTGCAGTCATTCTGTTCTCTGCCACTGAACTTAACTAAGTCATATGATTTGTCATCAAATTAAAACCTCTGTAAAGGTGCTAGAAACAACCTTGCTATATACAACTATGCTCGCCACAAGGTACGCATTGTACCATAACCTTCAGCTAAAAGCTTATTTCGTTCTTGTAACTTCTTTTTTTTTTTTGGTTTTTCTCCGGTACCGGGAACCGAACTCACGACCTTGCGCTTGCCAGGCAGGCGCTTTTGCCGCTGAGCTAAATCCCCAGCCCCTCGTTCTTGTAACTTCTGCTTGTCACCCTATAAATAAGACAAGCTCTCTATAATCAACACCCCAGACTTTGGAGATTATTCCTCTGGGGTCCACTAGCATCAATAAAATTTCCTTTCTTCTCCTGAGCTCCTTGCTCCTGTTGACACCATTTGTCCTGCAACAACATTACAAAGTATATTTCCATATTTGCATGTGCTTCCATGTACTTCCAGTCACATTTCTTTATTTCCCTTCACGAGATCAAGTTCACTCTCTTCCAAGTATCCCAAAGCTGTCTGAGCTTGTTTCCAACCCTGAGAAGTTCTCGCGCCATTGAAGACTGACGTGGAGAGGGCCCTGGATCCCTGTGAGGTGCCGTCTCCTGCTTTCACTATCAGCCCTGCTGCCTAGATTTACCATCTCCATCTCGTCTTCTTCCTGGAGAACACCTCTGAAGGGGCTTGGAGTGTCTGTCCCCAAGGGTGATCCTGCTCTGCACTGCAGTCTCCGTGCTGCAGTGTTTGTGTCGTGAGGAAACTGTGAAGCCGGCCTGTGAGTGTGAGGTTGGGGAGGAAAGGTGTGAGTGAGCTGGGTGTTGCATGCATGATAAGGAGCTTTCATTTAAAAGACTGAAGTGTTGTTGATCACGAATGTTGTGCATTACTTTTGAGCTACTAAGCTACGGTATTATAACATTACCTATCCTGACCACTGAGTTGTTCAGTGTCCCTCTCAATTCTGTGCCAGAAACAAAGTTACCCCTCGCTGGGCTGCGGCTACAGTCTGGGCCCTTCTGCTGGGTCTGTACAGGACACTCTGCTTCAGGAGTGTGAGATGTCTGAGGAAACTCTGAAAGTGGTTTATTACTCTGCAGTGTTAAAATTCTTACTAGTTTTTTTTTTTCCAGTACTGAACCCGAATCCTTGACCACGTACTAACCCCAGCCCTTATTTACTTACTTTTAATTTGTTTCGTTTTATTTTGTGGTTGTTTTGTTTGTTTTTTGAGACAAGGTTTTACCAAATCATTACATTGTCCAGGGTGGGCTCAGACTTGGGACTTCGCTGCCTCTGCCTCCCAGAAAGGTGAGATTATAAACATGCACCACCACGGTCAGCTCTTAACAGCTTCTGAACAAAGGCCTCTGCATTTTTATTTTACACTGAGCTCTACAAAATATACAGCTGGTTCTGTCTGATCAGCAAAGTGCATTTAAAACTGAATGGAAAATAAAATTGCAGTTGCAGCTCTTGTTCCGCAGTTCTCCTGGCTTATTCTGTCATTCATGCATTTACACTGGCAACAACTGGACTCTGTCCTCCCGCTCTGCCTGCATTGCCTCCTGTGAAACGGGTGTTTGGCTTTTCAGCTACTTTGTGGGGGAGAAAACGCTCACTGCTTCTCTTTGGAACTTCGTCTGGGAGACTGGCTTGGTTCTGCGATTCATCAGAAATAAGAAAAACAAACACTGTAAATGGAGAACTTGAAAAACAGGTGGGCACCATCTCCCCACCCAAGAGGATGGATCTAAAAGGAAATTTGTTTATGGGATGAGGTTTTAAAAGGTGACCTGGAGAATTTAGCAAAGATGTAAATAAACAACTCCTCCTTGGATTGCATTAGGCTTCAGAATAAATATATTATCCGGCTTCAGTCAAAGCCTGCCTAGAGTCTGACCTTGACGAGACCCAGCGCCTGTCGCTGCTCCCTCCCGCCCCTCCCCCAGGCGGCAGGCAGTTATCTGTACAGCAAGACTAACCTCCAAGCAGCAGCTGGGCTTCCCGCCCACGACGCAAAGGTAAGCAGAGATCTATCGCGTTTCCACCCGGCCGGACCCCTTCCCAGCAAGCCTGAGGGCCATCAGGAGACGCCACCCTGCTTTTCCACGGCATAATTATCCATCGTTGGATACACACTCTGCCACAACCCACCCAGGCTATGGAGCAGCTGTGCCTATGCAGAAGCCTCTCAGGTCTGGGGTCGGCTTAGTCCAGGCCACCCAGGAGCACCCTATGCAGGGCCCTGCGGGCAGGAGAGGGAGAAGCCAGGCTCCTGAGACCTCCTGTTGAATTGCAGTGTCTCTCACTCTTCTGCAAGTTGAGGGCTTGGATTTTCCCTGCCCTTACATCTTCTTCCTTGGTCCCCATCTGGAACCCAGCGTAGCTTTATGAGAACTTAGGAGGCATTTCTACACTATGATTCAAATTATTATCTCACATACGTAAATACCTTCCCACAGAGACCACATAGAACACGCACTGCCGAAAGCAATGACTAAGACGCGCTTGAGTGGAGCCTTTCATAGTTCTTGGAAGGAATTTTAATAGCTTCATAATTCATTATTATTAATAATTCTCACCTTATTTATGTTTGGCAGACTAACTCAATCACATTCAAAAACCATTCTTTTCTGAAAGTAGCTAGCAAGTCACACACAAGCTATGTAGTGGGGCAGGCATTGTTCATTCTAGAATAAAAAAGTGCAGTATTCTTCTGATTGCATGTAAAGGGAAGGATTAAGGTAAGTGATTTTCTTCCTCTTGGGAAGGATGACACTCTCTGCTTTGTAACAGTCGCATTATTCAATGCTTTAAGTGAGCATTGTTATTTCTGCTTTACAGATATGAAAACAGTCTCAAAATGGGCAAGCACGCAGGTGGCAAGCAGGGGACAGGGTTCACGCATAGCTCAGTGCGATTTTGAAACATATTTTCTTTCTTTTGTGCCTTTTGCCTCCATAGAAATACATAGAATAATGACTGTTATCCTTTGTGGAGCACTTACCATATGGCCGGCACTGTCTATGGGAGCTGTCGGCGACACAAGGAGCCTGCTATGGCACGCGTGTCTTAGGTTCACCACCAGTGGTCTAGGTTCTTCCCATAGTGTCCCATGAATTCTCACCCTGACCCTGGGAGGTACTACTATTACTTCTCCTGATTTACACACAAGGAAACAGATTTAGAGGTCAGGAATAGAGGCTAAACCCAGTCCATTCCAGAGCCTGGGCCAGAACCACTGAGCTACACATGGCCTTCTCCACTGCAGAGAGCTGGCCTTAAGGATCGGGTCACTTCATGAACTAAGACGGCACTTATCAGAGGTCAGGGAGACCATCTCCACCTAAGGAGAAAATTGGATGATCGACATGCAGATCAAGATGCAGAATGGAGAAAGCATTTTCAATCATAGGGGGAATGAATAAAGAGAAATACCAGTTTTTGAAAAATGAGTAGAAAGGACACATCCATGTGAGAAATGGCTATGCCACTGGTCAGGAAAAGATTTGAGGGTGGGTGTGGTGGCGCATGCCTATAACCTCAGCATTCCGGAGGCTGAGGCAGAAGGAGGCTGAGGCAGAAGGATCCTTGTGAGTTTGAGACTAGCCTGGGCTACAAAGTGAGCTCAAGGCTAGCCAGAATTGCATAGAGAGACCATGTCTCAAAAAGACAAAAAAAAAAGGATGTGAAATACACCGATGAAGGCATCTGAAAGCTGGTGGCTTCAGATCTCAACTGCAGCACCATGGTAAATTATACCATGATGAATGTTTCTGTTCATGAAACTTTATATCTCTGGGCTTTTGTTGGATTTAACTATAATCTCTGGTCACTTCTTGGAATCTAGCTAAGAAAATACAATCACTGGGGTAAAGACTTTTGGTGATAATATTACATATTGATTTCTACCACCATTGCACGTTTTTGGATATTCGTCTGTATTCAAATTTAATTTTTTAGAGGGACACAGCTTTCCTACGCAGTGACTACTACATTGTTATCTGCTCAACTTAATAAAAGATAAGAATCAGGTGTATGAGCTCAGTGATCAGAGTACCCAGGAGTGAATGATGGCTCTGCCATTTGCTAAGGATGATAGACTTCTGTCAGTAAAAATAGTGTGCCTTGAGTTAGTATAATTGTCTGATGTATTTTATATGGTTTTTGCCTACTCAACTAGTTGTTAATCAGTATACATAATAATATATATAATAATTAACTTTCTTAGGACTTATAAAGAAATGAATCTAATGCTGGAGAAAAACCACTAACATGGGAATTTCATAAAATCTAACTCACATGGTTATAATAAATTATGACAAAACATGTTAAGTGCTAAGCATCATGCCAAAGAATATATTTGATAAGCACTACTGATTAATATTAGTTATTCATACAATTATTGATTTTGCAAATACAGCTGAGCCTCCACTTACCCGTAGGGGTATTCTTTGATAAATCCATTGTAAGTCAGAAATATCAAGTCAAAAATGCATTCAATACCACCTGAACATCACAGTTCAGTCTAGCCTACCTTAACCATATTCAAACACTTACGTTGGTGTGCAGTCAGACAAAATCGCCTACCACAAAACCTATTTTATAATAAAGTGTTGTACACCTCATACAATGTAAACGAAACAGAGAAATAGAATGGTTATATATAGGGGTGTTTTCTCACCATCATACAGTTCGAAGGTCATAAATCTGGGACCATCTGTGATAGGCAACATAGAGGCAACTATAGCTTTTCAGGTGTTATCACTCAACAGTCTGCAAGGGTTACAGGTTGCTTTTTGGTTTTTTGATGATAGGAGGAAGAAAATCTTTTTTAGTATAAATATCAGAACTAAAAAAAGTATTGTTCAGTGAATACTGTGGGAACCTTCATCTGGACTTCTAAAACTTTAGAACCAGATGGTCATTACTGACTGATTTTGTTTAAGGGGGAACTTTGTACTGAAATGCTGAAGTGATTTGGCCTCATAAGACTGTGGTGCTTCTTACCTGTTTCCTAGACTTAAGTACTTTACTTCTCTTTGTGATAGCAAAGATTGGGCCTTGTTTGGTTGCTTTTATTCTATTGTATTGTATTATATCTTTATTTACTTTTAGGTACCAGTGATTTAACCAAGGGCTTTTTTTTTTTTTTTTAATTTTGAGACAAGCTCTCACTAAGTCTCTAAATTTCAGACTGGGCTGGCACTTGCAATCCTCCTGGCTCAGCCTCCCAGAATGCTGGGATGACAGGCTTGTGCCAGCACACCCAGCTTTCTTTTATTTTACTGAAATGTGGCTAAAAATGCGGTTACACAGCTGGATTCTAGGAGAGTTGAATTAAAAAGTATACTTTGGAATAGACGTTAGGGATAAGTTTTTCCAGGTTTCTAAACTAGGTAACCAGATAAACACACAGGAAGCCAGGTACCTGAAACTCCAGCATGGTCTTGCCCATATTTGACTCCAACATGTAGTGATAGGCGCCGATGCTCGTGCTGGGGTCATCCGCATCATCTAAAGTGCCCTTGAGAAGGACAGCAGCAGAAGAAAGTGTTACTCATATTTTCCTTGGGTGATCAAGGATAAATCCTGTGGCCACAGCAAGTCTTCCATTACTGGCCTATTCTTAATGGCATTCACGCTACAACCAAGTCTCCAGTTGATTTTGGGTAAGATTCCAAATCTCACCATGACTCAGAGTAAAGAGGACTTCATAGCTAATTTAAATCTACTTTTGATTAGAACATCCATTGAGCATATACTTGCTGACACAATAACTACTCCTGCGCAGAGATTCCTGCTACCACTGCACAGGTGGTGTGCTGGTGGTGTGAGGGCTAACTGAAATTTGGAAGTACCGATCATGCTCTAATTTCAGTGATACACAAGCAAATTTATGGACATAGAAAAAGAATCCCAGATGCATGGACCACTTATATTTTTTTCCCATGATCCTTAATGAGAACTTTTCATGATATGGGTGATGTTTGGACTGGAGATGTTATGGTTGTGTCTAGATGTTCTCCCAAAGCCTCACAGTCATGGGGGGCAAGCTTTGTAGAAGTGGTTAAATCTAGAGTTTGTGATTGATTCATAGTCCAATGCTGGGATTCAGGGTGTGAGTGCTACACCCACCCTCAGGCAGGTAGCCTGCGTGCAATATAAGGGACAGGAAGAGCCCTGTCCCTTCTCTCCCTTCCCTTGCTTGCTTTTGCTGTCTTCTGCTGCTATGAACTGTTTCTCCTCTGTGATGTTCCTTGGACCTTGGACCTAGCAGATTATGGACTGAAACCTCCACAAACTGTGAGCTAAATAAACTTTTCCTCCCTTAATTTTAGGTGTTGGTTATTTTGTCTCAGCAATGAGAAGAAAGTAAATATGACAGGAGACATAAATTTTGATTATATATTGTCTCCACTCTTGGACCACTGTGGTGAATTAACTAATGGTCAACTTGTAACCCCCAGCTGAACTGAATCAGCGCGGTTCTGGGCATGGAAGGTTCACCTGAGGATTTTTGCCAACAAAATAAGAGGAGAAGTGGAAGGGAAGGTAGTATCCTGTTGGTCCTCCTGGAATGCTTGTCTCTCTGGTTTTCCTGATATGAACTCATCTGTTCTAATCTTTATCAGAGGAGCTTGGGTCTTCACTGTCACTAGGGATGGTTGCTATTCTCTTCCAGGGAGCTCTAGTCTTTGCCTTGAGCATTGCTTCCTGGCTCCAGTGCAGATCCCTCAGCCTTGTGGCACAGATCCTTCACTCCTCTGGTACAGACTTTCTAGCCTCCACCACTGGCCCCTGGGCCTTCCCAGTGCAGATCCTTGATATAGACCGGCATAGGACATTATTATCTAAGCCTCTGGCTGGACTCATGTGGGACATTGCTGTGGGATCCAGGACCTCAGCTGGATTCTTCAGGTCTCCAGAGCATTAGCAGATCTCTTGCACTCCTCCGCATTTGACTTTTTGGGTGAATATTACAAAATAATCCTATAAATTATGTGTCCTGCATTAAACCTATTCCCTTGTAAACTCTGACAACAACAATCATTTAATCTTTAGGAAACAAGGTGTGTGTGTGTGTGTGTGTGTGTGTGTGTGTGAGAGAGAGAGAGAGATGGGTAGAAATGAAATTCCCCGTGAGTTTGGTTATAGAGAGCAGTGCTAGAAGTGAGCACAAGCTCTGGAATGGCATCTAGGTCTCCTCATTATCCCATGGCCTTGGATTCCTGGGAAGTCGGGCCGTGGCAACTCCGTGAGACTGAACAAACAACCAGCAGCATCAAATAGCAGCAAATTTATAGGTTTTGAATGCAATAACATTAACACACTGCTGCTGAAATATTTATGTTGGCTTTTTAAATATCCCAGAGGAAATCCACCCAGAAGCTTGCAAGCCATACGTACTCTCTTTCCTTAGAAATTTCCATGAAAAAATGATAAATTACAGTTATATTGAGGGCCCTTCCCTGCTCCTGAGTAAATTCCACACTTATATAAATCAGGCATCATTTTCCTAACTTCTCTTCCTAAAGGCACTTGAAATTTACAGGCCCAGAAAATAAAGGCTTCCTTTCATCCTCAGACCAGATATAGAGCAGAGCTCCCGGCCTGCTCCTGCTAGGACAATCGCTCTCCTTTCCCAGCCCCTCCTAATCTCTCCTGGAAGTGATAAGAGCGTTTATGAGGAGAGGCTCATGATAGTCAGATGATGGCTCCTTCATTATCAGCAGTTCCTCCAGAAAGACAGAATTTTCTAGTTTTATTAAGGGAAACAGGAAAGGAGAAGCTCAGATAGGGTTTATCCCTGCTAAGTGCAGGCCAGAAGCAGCTACTCCTGGGGGAAATGCCAAATCTCCCCTTGAGCATGTACAGGGAAACACCTGTCATGGGTGGAAGCCTCAGCTTCCTTTGTAGCTTGTAGTTTGGAGGTATCAAGCATCGGGAACTTCACATTGTTTATTGGACAAATAAATAACCCAGGATTGCTGGTGTGCTGAAAAAAAATTCTATATTTAAGTTGCCAACATGGGGCTTTTTGCATTTAAAGTATTCTGTGTTTGTGTCCATTACAGAAATTGTCAAAGCTCTCTGAAAAAAGTAAACTGATATTAACCATGATTATTGTAATAGCTTACACAAATCAGGATGAATAAAGAATCAGTGCTTCCTTAAAAATATAGACTGTAGGGCCCTACTCTCCTGGGTAGTTGGCACTTTCCCAGGAAGTACTTCAAATAATTTTTATGATTAGTTAAGTTGGGGATAAATGGAGCTAGTTTACCACTAGATGAAAGCATCATTCACTTGTTTGCATTCTTGGGCCCTAAAAGAATCAACACTCCTCAAAAGGCAGACGTTCAAATAAACAAATCAAGGTGGATCAAATTATCTCCCTCAATTTAAAGCTTGATTAGTTGTGATCCAGGGAAGTTAAGAATATTACTGAGGTGTAGAGTGGGGAACAAGTTCCAGTTTTATGATTTCCAATCCAAGTATTCTTTTCTGCTGAAAACTGATGATTTAGTGGGCAAAAATGTAACTCACATGTTTTTAAATTAAGAATTTGCTCCCTGTATCATCTCCCAGGACCCAGACGCCTCCATCCACAGCACGGCCCACTCCTCCCTCCCCTGTGGGTACTCACACTGGTGGAGGCCACTGCTTCCTGAACGCTTTCCATAATGAACTCCTTGGTGATCCTGCGCGAGGGGAGCTCATTGAAGAGGGAGTTGATCAGGGCCACTTTGGCTGCATCCCGTCTGGCCTCAGCCCTACTTAAGCAGCACTTGAGAAGGGAAGGAGAAAAGGAGCCATTAAAAGATTCAGCCTTTTGCCTTTTCATTCTTGCTCCAATGGGTCTCTGGACATTTCTAGCCAGACATTTATTGACTGCTCCTGTTCTTTCACACCCATTGCTAATCTCCCCAAAGATCATGCAGATTTTCTCTCAGCTGTAGAGACCATGCAGATGTCTTGTTACCTTCAATTGCTTTTTGTCTTATTTCACAGGCATAGATCAAAGGGTTTGCATACTATAATAATAAAAATAATAATGGCTACTATTGTGTACTAGGTTATTTACGTTCATTAGTAATGAGAAATAATAATAAGTCCTAAAATCTTCATTTCAGAGAAAAAAAGAAAAACAGGCAAACTAGAGATATGTATAACAGTAATTACTTACATTGTGATAATATACAATGTTATATAATCACATACAATGCAATTTAATTGGAATAATAAAAATTAAGGGTTTGAAGTCAGACTCCTAGGGTCCAAGCTCCAGCTAAGGTATTTACTAGCTTTAAGATCTTGACCGGGTTAGTCAGTCTGTGCCTCACTTTCTTCCTTTGGAAAATGTAAATAATAAAAGGGTTGAGATTAATATCCATTAATTAATGGAGACAAAGTGCTGAGACTACCTGCACATGGTACCCCTCTCTAAGAATGTGCCAGCCTTACGCGTGTTTGCCTCCAAGTGAAGGCAAGGTCCTGCTGTCATAGCTACTGTTTTTGCTTTTCCAACACATATTCCTCACCTTCTTTCTAATAGCAGTTAACTGATTTTCTTGAGATTATCTTTATACTCTGTTCATTGTCCATGGAGTTTGGATAGGACACACTGCATCTGGCCTTCTCAAAGTTAGAGATTGCAGACAATCTATCATTAATAACTAATTTAAAAATTAGGATTTTTTTATTTTAAAATGTAAAAAAAACCCAAAACAACAATGAAGACAAAATCAAAGCAACACAAAAACAACGAAAACAATACATGACCTCCAAACAAAATGATAGTAGTTAACAATGGTTGTTACCTTACATACTGTTACCTTCAGTGAAGTTGCTCAGGCCATCAGACGTAAGAAGGTAAGATTGCCCAAACAATCAAAGACAGTAACAAGTAATAAAAAAAAAAAACATTGGAAATGATGCAGAGCTTCACCATACAAGATGGTAGGAGTTCAACAATGGTTCTTATACTGCATATTGTTTTCAGATCAGTCATTCTGATTACCAGATTCAAGCGTGCAAAATTGGTCAGGAAAAAAGAAAATTTTAAGCATTGACTGTTCTTCTCAATAAACCACAGACATCAGCAATACGCCTATCCCAGCTATTCTTGTATATACATATAAATTTTATTTTTCATTTAAAAAAATACTGTTCAGTGTTCCTCAATGTGCTCTCACTCTCCGTGCTCCTAGCTTGTCTTCCCTAGTCACATGGGTCTGCATGACATATTCTAATTTTCCTGTCCCCTCTGTTTCTTTTTCTAACAGCTAACTGTTCCCATTCTTCAAGTTCTTATTGGTCTGGCATCCTGGGCCCAGGGAGAGAGAAGCAGCCTCATGAGAACTGCAATGTCCCTGGGACCCGCACATTTTAGGGGCCCTCTGGTATGATGGCTTTCGTCTTATAGGCTCTTTTGAACCCAGGGCTGTAGACGCTAAGATTCCTAGTAGGAAAAAGTCACAAAAGAGAAGCCCAGGCCTGAATTCTGATCGGTGGATTGGCCAGGCTGCCACTCTGTGGCTCCACCGTGGGGTGGCTGGGAGATCTGGGCCACCCAAACTTTGGGGCCTAATTTCTTATCCAAGAATCCTACTGCCTAAAATGCATGACTCTCGGGATTTGCTTGATAACTAATATGAAAGAAGAAGGAAAGGAACCAAAAAGTACACTTATTTTGCAATTTCTCCACTTCAAGAGCTCTAGATCACTAACAGGAAAGAGCCAAATCCCTCTATTTGCTTTCAGCACCTCCCCGACTCCACCCTACCCTCCCTGCGTTGACCATCCCTGCCGTGTCCCAGGGACACTCCAAATGTGCCTTTGTGTCCTCCAGAAGCCCCTCCTCCCCTTCTCCACAAACTTGGCTTGATATCCAGCTCCTCTGATTTCCTCCCCAAACCTCCAGGAAGAGTTGGAACAATGTGTTATAATGACCATGTAGCTGACTATCGGTCTCTTCTTCCCAATGAGAAGTAATTACAAGACTTCTAAAATGCAAAGAATGTCACACTGAGGAGAATGAAAACCAAATCTTCCTGGAGCCTAACAAAACAGGACAAGGAAAGACAGGAAGAGCTACTTTAGGTAATAACACAGTGCTTGCATACTTTTTCGGGGGGGGTTGGTTTGGACACAGGATCTTGTGTGTAGTCTATGCCCAGCTTTGAACTCATTATATAATGCAGGCTGGCCACAAACCTATTGCAATCTTCTGACTCAGCCTCCTGAGTGCTGGGATTTCAGGTGTGCACCACCACGGCCTGGCTTTGTAGTTTGCTTCTTGAGTGTCCAGCAAAGGCCCGTGTGTTGAAGGTTTGATCCCCAGCCTGGGGCGCTACTGGGACATGAGGACACCCTAGGGAAATGTGACTTAATGGAAGGAAGGAAGGTCACTGAGGATGTGCCCCTGAAGGACAAGCTGGGCTTCCAGAGTTTTCTCTCTCTCCGTCTCCCTCTCTGTCTGTCTCTCTCTCTGTCCCCGTCTCACTCTCTCTCTGTCTCTGTTCCCACCTCTTGTGTCTCTGTCTCTGTCCCCGTCTCGCTCTCTCTCTGTCTCTGCCTCTGTCTCTGTCTCTCTCTCACTTCCTGGTTGCCATGAGATGTGTAGCTTTGCTATGCCTCGTGCTTCCCCCATGCTATGCTGCTTCATCACAGGCCCAAAGGTAGCAGATCTAACTGAGCGTGGACTCAAACCTCTCAAACCATGACCAAAATAAACTTTTCCTCCCTCTGTGTTGATTCTCTTTAGTATTTTGTCACAGCAACAGAAAGCTGACCAACACAACCTTAAGTGAGAGATGGAACTGAAGCTCTAAAATGCATGAGGGGAGAGCAGTTTGGGGTTTCTCTCTCTGGTGGTGATTGGCAAGCAAGAGGGCTTTGGGGGCAGCTTTAGGCAACAAAGCAATTTAAAGTTTAGACCTCTGGCAAGAGTTGGGTCACTGGTATTATTCAGTCAGAAGGGGTCTGGACAGACTGATTTACTTTGTGCTGGAAGCTTGGGGGAGAATTCACAGGATGTTGAATTCTGAGTCAGAAGCCCTTCATTGAAGTGTGTATGTCACCTCTTCTAAGAAGTTTCCCCTGACCGTTCTCAAGGACAGACTGCATGGACAATGTCGAGGGGCAGCGACAACACTTCCGTGTCACTGTATGCTAGTGTTCTGGCTGCCCTTCCATTTCCAGGTGGTGAGTCCCCTTAATGGCAAAGTTAATTTTCCCTGGCCCTATAATATAGTTCATTAAGTGAATAACTGAAAGCAGGCAAGGTAACCCAAAAACAAGTCACTAAAGCACCAAATATAATGTTCAAGAAATTATCTTAAAAAGAATGAAATATAGATACTTCTTATTGCTTTTTTAAAAAAGGTTCTATTTCAATATACCTTGCAATGTATGTGTGTTCCAGTAACAAAATGTATGTGTATTCCAGTAAATTAATACCTGGATTTCAGAAAGATAATTGGCTATTATGTTTAGACTCTCTGATAATGACCATCTTTGCCTATGTTGGACGTGTTTATTATTCTTTGGAAAAATCAGTTCCCATTAAAAGGCAGAGTTTTTGCAAGTATTACCTGGTATCTGTAACAGCAGCTCATTTCAATAGCAATTTAGCTTTACAAAATCTACAAGAGAGCTATTGAGGTTTTAGAAGGTAAAAATTAGAATCAGACGGGAGCACGCTTAAGAAACAACTTTCTATCTAAATAATAGCAATTTAAACCATCTTTCATAGACAGAGAGGCCCAGTAAACACGGCTTAGATAAAAGAAACTATCTATTTTAAATAAGACCAGCTAAGTACTAGATCAAAGGCACCACATACATTTACAACCAAAAGGCACTGCTTTGGACATCAAAGGACAGCCACGCCAGAGAACAGAAAGGGCCTTTACCCAGAACGCATGGACAAGGACTACTGAGACTCAGCGAGAATCAAGATATTAAAGCAGACACATGTCTTTACTTATTTTCCTGTTTCAGGGTACAGAATATTTCCTTAAATCAGGGGAGAAAGTGTACCAGTTAATAAGTACATAAAACAAATTTTAAGGCATCAAAGGGCTTTTCTGGCTATTATTCTTTATATTTCTGCAAGACAAGTACTTTTTAGGAATCTTGTAAGACCCATAAGTACCTGTACGTGGGTAAGCAATGCAGCCCGCAGCAGCCAACAAGGCATAGCTAAATCGGAGCACAGGGGCTGCTGTGAGAGCAGGCAGTTAGAGTGAGCACCAAACAGTGGGAAATACTATGAGAAAATAAAATATGGCAAGGGCCCGAGCATTTTATTGTTGTCCAAACCAGTCGTCAAAGACATCATTTAGGGAGTGAGTGAAGTATGATGTTATTTCAAAGCTACTTCCTGCTGGAATTAGGCTTCCCATATTGTATGGTTTATGCTTGCAATTTTTTTTTTCTTTTAGCCAAACCCTGTCATAAATACAGATCTGTAAACTGTGCCTTACCCACTAACCATTCTGACTTGTTAATGGAGAACGACAACTTCTGTCCTGTACACTTTGTGAAAGTGCAGAGCAGGAATACTTAATAGTGAAGATTTTACTAAAGTCAGCTGTGGATTTCTCAGGCATGTGAAGACACATGCTTTCCAAGTGGCCAGCAGACCCCACTCAGGCATTCATCTTGGTGCTCAGATGCCTTTCATTTACTGGTACATTATAAACATTATAATCATTTCAAAGTGTCCTGACTAATCTAAAATTAAAGCAAAAGAAAAAAGAAATAAGAGTGACTGTGGCATTT